TGTGTGTGTGTGTGTGTGTGGTGGGTGGGTGTGTGTGTGGTGTGTGTGTGTGTGTGTGGGTGTGGGTGTGGGTGTGTGTGTGTGTGTGTGTTGTATATATTCGTTTTGTACTACTTTACAGTTGGCATAGTCTCGTGATCGATGCACATTATAGACATGATACTAGAAAGCCATTTGTGTCATTCAGGGAATATTGACATTTCAGGCATTGAGCTTTCTATTCTCGCGCAAAAGCCGCTACTCACAGAGTCGCATAGGACATTATGCTTTCCGAGGGATGTTATAGGTATCTGTGTATAATCCGTGTACCATATAGGGCACTTTTTTTACTAACAACTTTTATCCATACGGACTGATCCAATCTTTTACAAAACCACCTACCAACAGTAGTTGACTGGCGCGTAAAGTACATTACGTTGATAAAGAGCGTGAAAAATAAAATTCGAGTTAGATAGTTCATGTTCCATATAAGGCGATCTTGATCATCAACTTAATCACCTAATTTATACCTACCGAAATATATACAGACCACCGACCAATTTTTAGCAATTGGCGCGTTTAGTACAATACATTGATAGAGAGCGTGTATTGAGATTCTATTTACAGCTTATGTTCCATATGAGGCAATCTTGAGCATCAGCCTAATCACGTAGTTCTTCCCTACTGAAATATATACAGAACCACCGACCAACCGTAAATGACTGGCGCGTGTGGTACAACACACTGATTGAGGTCGTGCAGCTGGATGTTGTCGACAACTACACATGTACGTTGGACGTGGAACCTCTGTGAGGCACAGACACGGACATGCTCGTATCTCCGTGCACACCTGTGTACACATCATAAGAAGTGGGTACATACACTTATACACACTATCATTTATGTACGTACCTGTACATTTCTAAATATATAACGTACGTGTTCAAACTTAAGTGTACATTACCAGCCCTTAACGCGTATATTCCGACATATGATCGAGGGCGTGCAACGGGTCATTGGCGACGACTACACTATGGCACCTCTGTGTGGTGCTAACACGAATGTGTACATTTTTCGTCGCACGTATATATATATATATATATATATGTCTGCGTAAGCTATACTAGCTGCTGGACCAAATCGATCCGCAAACGGACTCGAATAAATATACAGATGGTTAGAATAATAGTAATCCCCGTGTTGAATGTTTCTCCAAACCCATCTGGGCAACATTAGTAACACAAAAACTGAAGACAAAATAAAATACAGAGATTGGATAGTCTTCACATCTTTATTAAATGGCTTCGACAGCCTATCTGATATTAGTCTGACAGGTATCCGACAATTATCTGACACTTATATGACACTCTATTGGTGCAGTCTGGTTTACATATGGTGAGGGATGGTTCGGTTTAGTATCAGGGATCGCATGTGGTTCTCTCTTATATCCGTAAACCCCTAAACCCCCTATTGGAATGGCCTGTCTGTGCCGTTCCACTTGTTCTATTAGTTCTTTACTATGGCAGGGCTACATCGATGACATCCTGCAGAGCCTGGTGTATATGTGCCGAGAACTCCTTGGAGTCTGTTGGGAGCAATAGAAATTGAAAATATCAATTTTCAAGTTCGGTTCAATTGGCATCGCAATGAAAGTACTTAATTTTTGTATGAGATAGTGTACCTCTACTAGGAAGTATTTGGAGCCTGTTGCGTCGGAACGGAAAAGAGGAAATGTGATTCTAAATTCTAGTTGTTAAGACCGATTCATGTCTAACTAAATTAGTCCTGTTGTATCGGTGCCCTCGTTGGTTTCCGTATATGTTCATGATACTACCGCTGTGTTTCTTAAATGTCACATGGAAGAATGTAAATTCATCCAGGCTCATGTACGGATATATGGCATCCTAACCCCCTATCTCAGATCGGTCAAAAAAACAAGCTAGGCGGGGTGTATGTTGTGCTTTTTTGTATACATGTATGCATGTGTACATGTATGGATGTATGTATGGATGTATGTATGGATGTATGTATGTATGTATGTATGTATGTAAGTACATATGTAGGTATGGATGTATGTATGTTTGTATGTTGCGATATAGATATATATATATATATATATGTACATGTATATGTATATGTACATGTGTATATATGTATATGTATATGTATATATGTATATATAT